ACATTACAAATGACTAAATTTTGATCCCTGTAATTCTTGGTAATACCAATGTTCACTTTGTCTGGTTTTGTTGCAGTCTGCCCCATTTTAGGTCTGAATATGGCGATCAATGTGAAGATATTCTAAACCAAATGGTGAGATTTTTTTAGATGTTGATCAACCATTTACTAACAATGTTGTAGATGATAGCAGCCCAAGATGGAATTTAAGTAGTTTATTTGTAAAGGAACTTCCTAGACAATAATAAAGCTTTTATTTTAATATTTTTCATTATTTTCATTAATTAAAATTTTATTATAAATGTCTATTGATGGGAGGGAGTATTATCATATAGTTATCCACAAAAATCTCCAAATCAATTTTAAATAAGGATAACACGCACCCAACTCACCAATAAAAATTGGATATTCTGAGGTTTCACGAAATTTGCAGATTAAGATATTTTTTGCGAACTACACGATTATAATGGGAGTACCAACTCTACTTTCTACATGTATATGTTTACTATGATATTAATATAGCTCACGTTGTTTATATGTGTTTTTAAGCTTTACTCCTAATTTGTACATTTCCTGATCAAAAACTTTTCATTGTTGATTATTAAAATTATAGATTTCAAGAAATATTAGATTTTCAACAAATGATTTCTCAGAATACTGTAAAGAAGCAAATACTTGATGCTTATGCAAAAGTATTTTGATAAGATCAAGAATTATTGAAGTCATAGCAGTTTGGTTAAGTGAATTTAATTGCCAATGTTAACAATCAAAAGTGGTTATATTAATTAATCAAAATAACACTCATTATCACAAGTGCCTAATAGACAGAATTTTCAAAATTTTATGTCAAAATCATTGTTGAAATAACATTTATGAAATGTCATTACAATGTCATAAAAAATTAATTCTCATGATCATTCATTCACTCACAGCACTAGAAGAGTTAAATTTCTCTGGAATAAAATATTCACCAAAAAAAGTTTGATTTATTTAAAAAACATATAATTGAACATTGACAGATTCATCTGTTGTATTAATAGAGTAAATAGCTCAGAATTTAAATATCCCCATCTTTTTGATGATTTGACATTGATATTAGAGGAGCCTCTATTTGTCATGTGGAATTACTTTATTTAAAAATTCTTTCAATTCTTTGTTTATATGCAATGCAAAGAATGCAAAGAAACTGAATATTTCCAACACAACACAAAATTGGCAATAATAAAAAAAAGATGAATATGTAAAGCATATATCAATTTGTGAAATTTAGAAAGAGACAGACATGTCAAATTTTTGTCTTATATTAAAAAAAGATATAGAATTCTTAAAATATTTAAAATCTGTAAAATTTATTTAATTGCTATTTAAAAGAATAAATAATAATAATACATAATAAATCATAATTGATATTAATGTAAATAATTAATCATCCATTGATAATTCACCCAACATCATAATTTCTAAAATTAATTTAAAAAAAAATTTAATCCAGGATATAAAATACAGTATAAACCAAATAATAATAATAACCACCTTCAGTTGCAACAAAATCCTTAACTTCAACTAATATTAATTAATAAAATAAATAAATTATTATAGATAAAAAATAATAAATAAAAAATAAATTTAAAATAAATTTACCAGTAAAAAGTTTAATTGAATCATTGTTAGATTTATTGCTAATTTCAACTGTTTTAAAAATACATAAAAATTTCATTGATTATTCATTTCTTAAACATTTACTTAAATACTCTTATATGTTACCTTGATTCCATTCTGCAATTTCATTGATCTCATTAATTTCATCAACCACATCCATCATTTCTAAATCATTTTCTTTACTATTAGAATCTAATTTTAATTGAAAAATTGAAAAATTAAAAAATTAAAAAATTTCAGTTGATCAATTAATCATAATAAAATTTAATTACTTTTATTATCATCAATTTCAGAAACAACTTTAGATACTGGTCCAAGTTCAA